TATAGGAAACCACATTTGTCTATGTGAACAATATCTCCCATTGATTATTAAATGTTTAATGTCATGTTATTATTTTTTTTTTTAATACACTAATTGAATATCCTTTCTATAAAAAGATGTTTTTGAAAACCTACAAGAACATTTAAAATTCTTTAAAATTAAAGAGGGAATATGGTACTTTTAAAAATGGGTTAGGTTCTCAATCCATATATGATTGCTCTAATACCTCGTATAAGAATATAATAAATTGTATACGACATTTAGAATACCGAGTTTAAATTATAACTAGGTCTTCCCATCACTTTCTTAACAATATAGAGTGCACTTTCAGTTAAACAACTATAGGATATTGTCGTTGGGGGTCTAATGGACATTTCATTTTGGACAGCTATTATACAGTGAATGCCTACACTTTCGGTTTCAACCGTATCTATACTACTATAAAATGTTAATAAAAGTGAAAAAATTTTGTTTGATTAAAATAACTTTGATAAAATCACTAATGCCCGTATTGTCTTTTTCAATTAATAAAAACACTAAAAATATTGAAGGTTATTTATTGAGCAACTATTGTATTTTCAATAATGATATATATATATTATACACGCCAGACAAAAAGAAGAGTGAAGCCGGCCATCCAAAAAAATAAGAGGTAGAAAAATCCCACACCGAAACTCTACTCCATATTCGACATCTCTTGGCCATGATAACTCACGTCGTGAGTATAATCTCAGAGGTGATTTCATCTTTGCAGTTACATGTATATCTATATTTCTAAATATCTATTGTAGAATTTTCTTAACCAATGCTCGAGAAAGAATGTGTTTCCTGATTAACAGCTGTTAGGTTGAGTGCATCTCTTGGGATTCCCACCCCTAAAGGTGAAAGGAGAAGGGTTGTTCAACTTGCAGATTAGATTTGGTTGTACTTGTACTCTTTTTCAAAGAAAACATCTTTTACTGATGAATGGAAGTTTAAATTGTATATACCAGAAATCAGCCTCCTTTTTTGTAGTAGACTAGGAGGGATTGAGCTTGTTGTTTACAAAATAATAAGAAAGAGATTTAGGAATAGTTGTTTCCTTGTTAGAGCATAGCTAAAGCGTGTAGAAATATAGAAAAAATAATTAGAAGTGCATCTATGTTAAATGTCCCGATGTTAAACAATAGTTTTTGAAAATTGTTCCCATACGTCTAATTGCCACAATTTCCAACATTTGTAAACAGCTAATGAAATAATTGTTCGAATCGTTACCATTTTAGGAACATGATTGAAGGTCTCCTCGTAATCGAGATCACAACAAGATGAGCCTTGTACTTGTCAATAGTTCTATTAGCCCTCTTCTTCGACTTGTAAACCTATTTGCAAGTAACTGGTGCAACATTCTTTGGTTTCAAAACAAGCTCCCATGTACAGTTCTTGTTTAGTGTTGATATTTCCTCTTGCATCGCTTCTTCCCATTTAGAAATTTTGTTTGCTTCATTGTAAGACGTAGGCTCATCTTCACATGACTTTCTTGTAAAAAAATAGGACACAACAGAGCAATAACTTAATTGAACATCATAATCAGCTAAGTAATCAAGTTGCCTTCTTTGTCTAGAGGTCCTTCGAAGCGCCGTCCTTGCAATCTCCTCTTGTTGAATATTTTCTTCAATAGGAGTAATATTGTTCCCCCTTTCATTGGATGCATCATCAAGAAAGGGTGAAAGATCACTTGTGCCTATATCGGTATCAATTTGAGGTGATGAAACTTCATTAAACACCACGTCACGGGAAACATCAACTTTATTTGTTTCTGGATCCATACATTTCCATCATTTCTAGTGAGTATCATAACTAACAAAAATATAGGGCCTTGCCCTTGGGTCCAGTTTAGTCCAATTAGTTTTTGAGACATGGACATAACAAACTAAACCAAAGACTCGAAAATAACTCACATTGGGTTTGTGATAGTATAGTGCTTCCAAAAGAGATGGTTTTGTCCCTAGCCATGAAAGTAAACGATTTATGACATGACAAACTAATTGAACAACTACTGCCCACAGCTCTCTTGGAAGGTTCTTTATATGCAACCATGGGAAGCACATAGATGTAAGATGTGCCAACTTGTGCTCATCAACTCCATTTTGCTGTGGAGTTTTCGGGTAAGTCTTTTGACACTGAATGCCATGTTCTTTGCAGTAATCGAGGAATTGATCAGACATATATTCTCCTCCATTGTCGGTGCGTAGACACTTGATTTGCAGCTCGAATTCTTTCTCTACCTGCTCCTTGAACTACACAAATTTAGAGAAAGCCTCACTTTTGTTTGCTAAGAAGTACACCCAAGTGAACCGAGAAAAGTCGTCCACAAGACCATTACATAGCGAAAATCAGAGTAACTGGGTGTTCTTGTTGGCCCCATCAGATTTGAATGAACCAGTTGTAACGCAGCGAAAGCTCTATTCTTTGAATTCGAAAAAGGGAGGCGATGTGATTTTCCATTTTGACACCCAGGACAAACCACATCATGGTGAATCTCTTTAAAAAGAGGAACTCCATCAAGAAGCTTCTTTAGAGATTTTCTGCAGCAATTGATACCCAACATGGCCTAACCGATTGTGCCAAAGCATTGCACTTTCATTCTGACATGTTTTTTCAACATATGCATCACTTGCAGACAAAACATATAATGATTCTTTTCTTCTCCCAGTAAATAAAACATCAGCTTCTATGTGTTTTACATTAGAAAGAATTTGAACATTTTTGGGACCAAAGAGAACATACCTCCTAGCGTCGGTTATTTGAGAAACTGAGGAAAGATTCTTCTTTAGGCCTGGTACATGATAAACATCTTTGAGAGAAACTCCTCTGTTATTCAAAATATCTACCTCAAAATGCCCTTGTTTCTCAACAGGATATAAGGAATTATCAGCTGTCATAATGGTTTTCTTCCTATAATGTGGATGAACGTCCGACAATAAAGAATCATTTCTCGTTGCATGATGAGAACAACCAGAGTCAATAATCCATTCGTTGTTGTAGTCTATGGAGGCATTACCATCTATCTGTGCAAGGGTCACAATAGTTGATTGATCAGTGGATGTAATAGACAAGCAATGCTCCCATTTGGACTGTTTAGACTTTCAGCACACAAGGTTTTGACTTTCAAAAAATATTTTGGAATTGAAAGAGTACCTTGAGTCATTCCAGCAAGTTCATTCTCCAAGTACTGCAAGTGCATTGTATTCTTTTGTGTGAACCATCGATCAAGTGTCTCCCACACCTGTTTTGGCGATGAGACATCACGAACATGTGTGATGAAGTCTTGGCTGATCAAAGTTCGTAAAGCAAACAAGGTTTTGCCGCACTTAATCTTCCACTTTCGTTGTAAGTTAGCATTTTGGGGTGTATCTTCTAGAATTACAGCATCATCACTAGAGATAAAATCCCACAAGTCCGCCCTTGTAGATAAGCTTTTGTGCATAGCTTCTAGTAATTATAGTTGTTACCAACTGTTGGACCAAAACAGTTTTTAAGTGTAAAAACAGAGTTTTTAGTATACTTTGAGACTAAATTAAAATGGGCCCCGTTCATTGTTATGAGTAAAATTTTATGGGTTCATATTCTACTCCGTAAGGAGAATAATGTAGTATATTCACTTGCTCAAATCGAGTAAGAAATGAATGAAAAAATAGGCTCCAAAGTGACCCTTTTGAAATGTGGAAATAAAGGTTGTGCAATGTGGGATTTGACACCAATTCCACATTGGTATGAGAAGAAATTCAACATGGACATATATAGGCCAAGTTTGCTCTATGTGATTGGACCTTAAAGGGTACCACAATTTTATGAGCGGAGCGAGAACCTACATGTCTTCGGTTAGACCACACACGTGCGCATCACTAGCCACGCTACGATCCGGTTGGGCTGGGCTCGGGACAGGTGTGGTTGTGGTTTAAACCAAGCCCTATCTTTTTGGAAAAAATTCATTTAATTAATTGAGCGAGAATTTCTGAATAGAATTTAATTTTTGGTATCCAATTAATTCGCATTGGTTCGGATTTTTGCATCATTCCAGTCCGAAGTTGGAGTTGTGTCTGTTCATAAAGAACAGTTAAAAGTGGTGTCTACTAATTTTCATTTGTCTTCCTGGGTTGTGTCCTTGAGTGTGGTGAGTGTCCGAAAAGTCACCATAAGTGTCTATAAATGCATAGGTTCATTAGCATTCTGCATTAATTAATTCATTACAATTATTAGTCATATTTAGAGTTAAGCTCGACATTAGAGTATTGCATTTCGGCATTAAGGCAGTCTACATTTGGAGTTTTGGTTTGCTAGACGAGTAGATTGTAGTACTTCTTCTGCTCGTGTAAAGATCATTGTATTCTGGGAGACAAACACTCGATATTTCATAAACACCGTGTGTGGAGACGAAATTTGTCTAAAGGACATAGTGACAAACACTAGCCTTTATTTACTTAAAATTCAATAACAGTTCATGTTCTACAACCGAGTTAGTATTTATTTTAGTTTAGCAAAAAGTTTCGTGTCACTCTTTTGTTTCTATGTAATTGTTCTGCACTTCACTCTTATTGTTTTATTATATTTTAAGTTACGTAGTATAAAAAATTTTAATAAGTGATTTTACAATATTTAGAATTCCACAAACAACACCAACAAGCTTACCTACAAAAACATTGCTTCCACCATTCATCTTCACTGAGCAATAAAATCAAACATCTGGAAGGCAACCAAACTCTGATACCATGTAAGAAATATAGAGACCGGAAGCAACCAAAAAAAAAAAAAGACAGGGATGGTGTTGAAACTGAATTTTATTACTCAATGGAGAACTAAAGCAAAACTAGGATTACAAAGGTTATACATACTAGAATTTTTTTCCTAAAAGATCTCAACCGACTAAAAAAGTTTGCCTAAATAAGAGGAAGACAATCTGTATTCCTAAATAAGTGGAATACTGAAAACAAACTAGATTTATTCAACAAACACTAATTCAGTTATGCAGCAAAGACAAATTCAGTAATTTTTTGAAATATGTCAGCTATAAATTCGACAAATTTGCACCACTCCACACCACCGCCTTTTTCTTTCTTCTCACCATCTCTGCCATTGTCACCGCTACCACCAATGCCAATGACATTGACACTCCCACTCTCCTGGCGGCGGCATTCCTTCTTCGATTCAGCAATCTCGACCAATATTTTGAGCTTCCTTTTCAATGCTTTCACCAGAACTTCCACGTCCATAGTCCCTCTTACCATTACTAGGTCATTTTGTTTGTTTAAAGAGATCTCTTGCAATCCTGTTTCATCACAAATTAGTCCTTAACCTGATATTACTCTAAAAAACACCATTAAATGTGCCCTAACCTTTGGTTTTGAAGGCAATTTTGACAATATCTGGAATACATTTATTGCAGTTCAGATTCACCTTCAACCATGTTTTCTATAAATGCAAAAACCAATCAATTAATCAACACAACTTGATGAAAAATCACTAAAACAAGAGCTAGCAAATAATTTTACTAAAATCTCTCATCTGATGGGCTATGTACCCATGCCGTGAATCTCAAGTGTAACCACTTTAGTATCATTACTAAAAATGAAATTATGAAGTTTTTGGCAAAGCAAATAGATAAGCCTAACCTTTGAATTCTTATCTTCTGGGTTTTGCTTTGGCTTGTCTTTGGCCTCTTTGTTCCTATTCTCTTCTCCAGCACCAACATTCTTTTTTTTGTCGTCCTTATTTCTTCCATCGTCTTTGTTGTTTATCTTGCTCTTATTCTGCTCATCCTTGTTCTTCTCCTGCAACCAAACGCGAAACCAACCACCCAGTGAGAGAGAGAGGGGGAGATAGAAAGAGAGAGGGGGAAAGAGAGAGAGATCACTGCTACCTCCTTGTGGTTCTTCACTTGTGGTTCTTCCTTTGCCTTGTCTTTGGCCTCTTTCTTCTTATTCCTTTCTCTGTCAACGCGATTCTCTTTCTTCTTTTCNGAAATAAAGGTTGTGCAATGTGGGATTTGACACCAATTCCACATTGGTATGGGAAGAAATTCAACATGGACATATATAGGTCAAGTTTGCTCTATGTGATTGGACCTTAAAGGGTACCACAATTTTATGAGCGGAGCGAGAACCTACATGTCTTCGGTTAGACCACACACGTGCGCATCACTAGCCACGCTACGATCCGGTTGGGCTGGGCTCGGGACAGGTGTGGTTGTGGTTTAAACCAAGCCCTATCTTTTTGGAAAAAATTCATTTAATTAATTGAGCGAGAATTTCTGAATAGAATTTAATTTTTGGTATCCAATTAATTCGCATTGGTTCGGATTTTTGCATCATTCCAGTCCGAAGTTGGAGTTGTGTCTGTTCATAAAGAACAGTTAAAAGTGGTGTCTACTAATTTTCATTTGTCTTCCTGGGTTGTGTCCTTGAGTGTGGTGAGTGTCCGAAAAGTCACCATAAGTGTCTATAAATGCATAGGTTCATTAGCATTCTGCATTAATTAATTCATTACAATTATTAATCATATTTAGAGTTAAGCTCGACATTAGAGTATTGCATTTCGGCATTAAGGCAGTCTACATTTGGAGTTTTGGTTTGCTAGACGAGTAGATTGTAGTACTTCTTCTGCTCGTGTAAAGATCATTGTATTCTGGGAGACAAACACTCGATATTTCATAAACACCGTGTGTGGAGACGAAATTTGTCTAAAGGACATAGTGACAAACACTAGCCTTTATTTACTTAAAATTCAATAACAGTTCATGTTCTACAACCGAGTTAGTATTTATTTTAGTTTAGCAAAAAGTTTCGTGTCACTCTTTTGTTTCTATGTAATTGTTCTGCACTTCACTCTTATTGTTTTATTATATTTTAAGTTACGTAGTATAAAAAATTTTAATAAGTGATTTTACAATATTTAGAATTCCACAAACAACACCAACAAGCTTACCTACAAAAACATTGCTTCCACCANATCCAATAAAAACATGACATTCATAATTTATTTTATTATTGTTATTTTAATTTATTAATTTTAGGTTAATAACTATAAATTCATCAAACTAAAATTCACTTTTCTAAGCTAATTTTGATATACTTTTTTTTTAAATACCGTATCATTATCCTCATGTGTCTACATGCAGATAAGGAAAAACACACACTGAGTCAGCAGATTAAGATGGCAGATTCGATTTGGATACATGGGGGGTGATCAAGTGGTCATATTAGCAGCATCGTGGTGTTGTTAGTCAAATCAGAAGTGTCGGTGACACTGTTGGCGCACGACAATTGACGCACGTCAACGTAGAATAGAAAATTAGGTAGGGCGTATGAGAAAGACCTTTTTTTTTTTTGGAGTTAATTATTTTTTTCCCTCCAAATTATATTGTTTGTGTCAATTAAGATTCTAAAATATGTTTTATGTTAATTTAATCCATAAAACTATGTAATTTGATTAAATATGACTTTTCTCTTCAAATTCGTCGTTAATTTTGACAAAAATCCTCACGTAATTATAACTTAATGTTTGGCTCGTGACATGTACGAGAAGATTTTTATTAAAGTTAATGGTGGATTAGATGGAAGGACCACATTAAGTTGGATCACATAGTTTAGGGCCTAAATTAACACCAAAAATAAAGATAAACAATATAATTTAAGGACCAAATAAATAATTAATTTAAACCCGCCTTACTAACCATTCAAGATTGTATTATAGATTGAGTAATGTTATTGGGATATAATTAAGAGATATAATTTGTGGGACATAATGTATTTTGACCAATGGAGTCATAATGTAATAAATTTAATACTACAATGAGTTTCATAATTGCATTCCCTATTACTTCATTGGTCCCAATACATTATATTTTTAAATTATGTCTCAATAGCATTAGTGGTGTGCATTTAACTTGGCTTTTGCCATTATGATTCGATGCCAAACACAAAGAAGTCTAATTCTCCTGCGCATTTCACGATCCGACATTAATAATAGAGGTAAATAATAGAGGGTAATGGGGATGAGCTCGTAGTTCAAAATAAAATGAAAGAAGAGAACCATGTGGATCTACAAAGAGATTTCAAATGAATAGTATGAGATGAATCTCCTAAAGTATTTTTTAGGGGTAAAAACGAAAACATAATTCAATTTTGTTATTCCGATAGATGAAATATGCGAATTTTTAGAGAAAAAATATGCAAAGGACATGCTATAATTAGTCCTATTGTTTTGCATACTATTGGGCTCTGAATAAGGCCCATGAAGTAGTGGACCCTAAGTCCACTCCCACACAAATTTGAAGCAAACATTGGTTCGCACTATCCAATTTTTCATTCTCATTTATCCTTTCCTAAAGGTTGGCATCCAATTGATACAATTTTAGCATTTTTGCTTTTTGTATCAAGTCTGCTAATTTACACCAAGTAGCGGTTGCCCTAGTGACTAAGAATTTAGATTTTCTTACTTAATGTTTGATTTCGAATTTTCATAGTTACGATGACTCGTTGAAGTTAAACCTACTTTCAGTACCTAGATTATACAGTAGGACATTTGCTTCAGGTTCGACATAGGTGCAATGGAATCCCCTGCAGATAACTGTGTGATGCTGAGGGACAATATTCATTGACAGATATGTAGAATGACATATCTGTATATCCATTTTATATACCAAAAAAAAAAAAGTCGGCTAATTTACACAATTTTTTTGATTTATAACTTTAGGGATGCCAATGTAATTTTGTCTCACTGTATGCGAGACATGTTATTTTGAATTTATGTTTGAGTACATCATGGATATATACCAAGGAATTAAAATCTACAAGTTTGCACTGTTATTTACATTATGCTTTCTAAACAAAACATGCACTTAAATAACAGAACACTGCCCAAACATTTCATTGATGGAGTGATCAAAATATGGCCCATAAGGATGTCTGTTTGAGCACACATTTGGTCCATATCCAATCCAGCCATTTCCCTCCACACACCCACCACCACCGCCGCCGCTATCACCAACGCCAATGACATTAACACTCCCTCTCTCCTGGCGGCAGCATTCGTTCGTCGGTGCAGCAATCTCGACCGATGTTTTGAGCTTCCTTGTCAATGCTTCCACCAGAGCTTTCACGTCCATAGTCCCTCTTACCATTACTAGGTCATTTTGGTTGTCTAAGGAGATCTCTTGAAATCCTGTGTCATGACAAGCTAGTCCTTAAACCAAAATTACTCTAAAAAACACCGATAAATGTGTCCTAACCTTTGGTTTTTGTGGCAATTTTGACAATAGCTTGAATACATCTATCGCAGTTCAGTTTCACCTTCACCGATATTGTCTTAGGCTGATAAATGCAAAAACCAATCAAGTAATCAACACAACTTTATGAAAAATCACTAAAACAAGAGCTAGCAAATAACTTTACTAAAATCTCTCATCTGATGGGCTATGTACCCATGCAGTGAATCTCAAGTAAATCAACTATAACCCTTTAGTATCATTACTAAAAACGATATTACGAAGTTTGTTGCATGCTTTGTATTTCATCCTAATTCGTATTTAATCTTAAAAAAAAAAATCTTGGGATTTTAATTGAGAAATTGGATGACTTCTGATTTTGAAGCACATGGGCAAGGGTCTCGAAGAGCCAACAAAATAGTCCCCGCAAAATTCGTTGTATAACATAGTCACCAATTATTTCTAAACATAGAAGAAGCTTGGCAGCAAGGTGGCAAGACTTCTTGGTTGAGTTTTATATGTGTATTTAGCATAAGCCAGACGCATGAATCTAGTGGCTAATGTGTTAAGTCAGAAAGCAAAGCTTGCGTTGTGAGGAAAAAAAATTTCTGGTAACCAATTTTTTTGGAAATAAAACCCACTTAAATTTGTAATAAAATGAAAGTAACACTTTTCTTGCTTTTATTTTTGATTCAGAGAATTGTTTGTAATCTAAATTGCTTGTAGTAATTTTTTGCAAGCTGAATTACGTAAGAATTTGTGTATTTTTGTGTTTTTCTATCTCGTGTACGAGTTCCTCTACAAAGATGTTTAAAAGCCCAAGGTGGAAATTAATTAACCAGCAATTATGTAAGTAACAAAACTTCCACAAGATTCAAGGCTTGATATGAAACATATAACATTAATCCATAAGCATATGCCATAAAAAATAATAATAATAAAAAAAAAAAAAAAAAAGCATATGCCATACCTCTGTAGATTTCTTATCTTTCTTTTCTTTGTCCTTATTTTCGATTTGGTTTGGTTTTACAGAAATGAGTGAGACCTTCTTCTTCAATCTCTTCTCAACTTTCTCCCGGAGCTTCTCAGGATCTACTTTGCTGACCACTGTAAATTTGATGCCGTCACCGTCTTCTATCTTCACTGACTGAACACCTACACGTACACACACACACAAACAAAAACATCATAACAATCAAGGGTTAGAATAAAGCGCGAACAATGAATATATATAGAGAACAAACATAAATTTGCATTGAATGAAAAGCATAATTATGAATTCATTACAACCTTAGAGAAACCACAATTCTCAAGTTGTTCTGATAATGAAGATAGGAGAAATAGAGAAAATAATGTCAAAATGGAATTAAAAAAAAAAATAGAACAGCTAACAGAACATTATGAAAATCCCAAAAAATAGAATGGAAACAAGAAGAGGAGGAGACGAAAAAATCAAAAACAGAAAGGAAAACAAAGTATGGATTCCGAAAAATGAAAGAGAGTAAAGCGTTTTGGTGATTTTGGATTAGTATGGAAGAAATGTATACCATTCAAATTTCGAATGCATTCCATAATTCTGTCAGCACAACCCTCACAACTACAATGCATGTCAATCTTGAGAACCACAGTGATATTCTCTTCCATTTTTTTCCTTCTGTTGATCGTTATCAGTGATTCATGACAACAAAGGCAGAGTGAGAGAGAGCGAGAGAGAGGTGGGATTGTATTGTAGGTGAAGAGAAGAGACTTGGTCTCACCACACACATTATGATTCTTCAGAGTTGCCTTCAATTTGAGAGCAAAAACAGAGGATCGGAGGGGTGTATTTATGGAGCTGGCGTGTATTAGTTGTTGGACTGGGGTGTGAATATGTGATTTTTGTGGCAAAACAAACTGTTTTTACTAAAGTATTGTCCGGTGTAAAATGTGTGTTGTTTGCCCATTACTACTGTTTTTAGAAGTACATGGATAACGGTACTGTTGTGTATGATGTTGATTGTTACTATAAAACTTATGAAATACCTACCCGATGCATATGTAGCACTCTCACCTGATCACCAATGATAAATGTTAATCACTGCTGAAAACGATTTGGTTTAGGGGTGACCATGGAAGGGTCATGGAAAAAATATAGGGTGCAACCATTACATCGCATCCGCAGTGTCACGTACTTGAATCGTCCACTAATTAATAAATGAGTCTCACTAAACCTCGTAACCTATGTAGTACATAGCCAGCCAACCCTTTGGATGTATGTATCTTGGGCCAATCCCTTCTTCCGAGTTCTATCCGTGGGCCACGCCTATGTTCTAAAATTTTAATGTTTATGTTCTAAGGTAATACGTTTAAAAATTAAACTAAGTTCTAAATATAATTTATTGATCTAATTAATCACAATTATTGTATTGATAACGGATCTAAATATTGAGATGTAATGTTAATTCAATAATAATGATTGATTATTCTACAATATAAAACAGAGCGACTTCAACTTCCAACAGCCACTAACACTCCAATTCAAATTAAATGGTTCAGATTTCACCACCATTCATCCAACCTAATCTAATGGCCCACAATACATCTCGCAAAATCAAATTCCTTACCCTCTCAAACGGCGCCTAACGTGACTATACCTACACTCACACGACACCCAACCCAAGCCAAACTCTCTCTCTCTCCAAGACCAGCCTTCTCTACCCTCTCTCTCACGGTCTCACCTCTCGGTCTGCCATGGCTCAACCATGAAAGGTCGCACAGGTACCTTCCTCTCACACATAGCCATCGCCACCGCCACCGCCACCGCCACAGCCACAGCCACAGCCACAGCCACAGCCACAGCCACAGCAACGCCTCTCCCAGGTATCCCTCTTCTCTCTCCGTCTCTCCCCCAAAGGTCTCCCTTTTCTGCGTAACACAACCCCCCATCTCACCTCCTCTGCGCAACCCACCCCTCCCCCACTGCGCAAACCCACACACCATTGCGGACACACACAAAACACAATATACACAAATTGTTTGGACACCAAGTGTTTGATGGAATTACCGAGTGATAAAGGGTTTATAGAAGTTGTTGTTGGTTCTCACATTAGCTTTTGCTGTTTCCTGAAAGATTATTTTTGCAGCTGCACCTGGCTTGCATTGTGGAAGTATGCATTTCAAAGGCAAGGGCAGGCTTGGTATGTTCCTTGATCGCTGGAACTTAATCTTCTCTGTGATCTATAATTTACTTAGTCTTCTCTGTGATCTGTAACTTAGTCTTCTCAGTTTGTGTAAAAAAAATCGAGATAGTTATTCAATAAAAAAATTGTTATTCAAAAGATTAATATTATGCAATTAGTGTTCCATTTTATGTTTCACAGTGCCTAAGATAAAATTTTGAGACCTATTATTTTTTAGGGGCTGTCTACTATTTTGGTCTCCTAAAAATTGGTTTTGACTTTTGAAAAAGAGAAAATAGAGTAAAATGAATATCATGATTTTTTACACAGTGCTTGGTGTTTTGTTCTGGTAAATGGTAAAAGATTATCCTGTGTACCTATTCTATAAGGGAGGCTGTAGAAAAGTACAATTCTGTGTATGTGTTTAGTTTTGAGAACATGATAAATCTCAAATTCAAGGAGTTCGGAGAGCAGATCAAATCCACTAGCAGGTAATTAGAAAAAAATGTGTTTCAGGAAAGATTGCTTTCTTTTCACCATCTATTTGGGTGCTCAAATCATATTATTGTATATGTCTAGATGTAATTGTCAAAAACTCTGGTTGTTATCCAAACAAAGTGAATGTGGTGTAATAATGTTGGGTTGAATTATGTATCTATGTACTCTACAAAATCTATGGGTTTTCTTCTTGATCTATACCCCCAAATGAGTGGGACATAAGGCTTGGCTGGGTTAGATTGCGGATTGTTCATTTTTCAATAGGATATACAAAGTTACACACTTTTTTAAAAAAAATTCATGCCCTGCTTATACAGGGCTTAATGTTAAGAGAAGTGAAGGATGAACTTTTGTACTGAAGATGCGCACTTCGGGCTGTGAACTGAAAAAAAGGCTTTGGGTTTAGCACTTTCCTATATTGCTGCATACTGGGAGATTTAATTTTCATTCATTTATAGATTTTTGTTTAAAACTCTATTTGGGTTAGGGAAACTTTATAGGACAGTTTTTTCTGAAAACACTGAGCTGCAATTTTAAATGCAATGAACTATTTGTAAATTTCCTATGGACTTTTACACTTTTCTCCCATGAACATATTGGAAATGCACTTTTACAAGTTATAACATTGTTTTGAGGGCATTTTCAGTAGAAACTTTTGGTAGGCTAACCACTACAGTCTGCAGTATACTCATATGCTTTGTAACACAATCATCTATATTTTTGGGGTGTCAGATTTTCCTGGGATCCAACAAAGTCTTGCAGGTTTCTATTGGTCGATCTGTTGTTGATGAAATCAGACTAGGTCTTCACAAGATTTCGAAAGTACGAATTACTATTGTATATACTCATTGTATATTGCAATTTTTTTTCCTTCGTAGGTTTTATTCACAATTAGATTTGTTGTTTTTACTGTTGTTGAAAAATTTCTTGTTTAGCTTCTACGCGGTGATTCTGGCCTTTGCTTTACCAATTTGTCAAAAGAAGATGTTCAAAGGTAACTCCTTGAAATCTTATTTGTAGTGCAGTTGTACTCTGCTGCTCTTTCTTGGTTATCCAGTTGANTTCTTTTCACCATCTATTTGGGTGCTCAAATCATATTATTGTATATGTCTAGATGTAATTGTCAAAAACTCTGGTTGTTATCCAAACAAAGTGAATGTGGTGTAATAATGTTGGGTTGAATTATGTATCTATGTACTCTACAAAATCTATGGGTTTTCTTCTTGATCTATACCCCCAAATGAGTGGGACATAAGGCTTGGCTGGGTTAGATTGCGGATTGTTCATTTTTCAATAGGATATACAAAGTTACACACTTTTTTAAAAAAAATTCATGCCCTGCTTATACAGGGCTTAATGTTAAGAGAAGTGAAGGATGAACTTTTGTACTGAAGATGCGCACTTCGGGCTGTGAACTGAAAAAAAGGCTTTGGGTTTAGCACTTTCCTATATTGCTGCATACTGGGAGATTTAATTTTCATTCATTTATAGATTTTTGTTTAAAACTCTATTTGGGTTAGGGAAACTTTANTCCTATATTGCTGCATACTGGGAGATTTAATTTTCATTCATTTATAGATTTTTGTTTAAAACTCTATTTGGGTTAGGGAAACTTTATAGGACAGTTTTTTCTGAAAACACTGAGCTGCAATTTTAAATGCAATGAACTATTTGTAAATTTCCTATGGACTTTTACACTTTTCTCCCATGAACATATTGGAAATGCACTTTTACAAGTTATAACATTGTTTTGAGGGCATTTTCAGTAGAAACTTTTGGTAGGCTAACCACTACAGTCTGCAGTATACTCATATGCTTTGTAACACAATCATCTATATTTTTGGGGTGTCAGATTTTCCTGGGATCCAACAAAGTCTTGCAGGTTTCTATTGGTCGATCTGTTGTTGATGAAATCAGACTAGGTCTTCACAAGATTTCGAAAGTACGAATTACTATTGTATATACTCATTGTATATTGCAATTTTTTTTCCTTCGTAGGTTTTATTCACAATTAGATTTGTTGTTTTTACTGTTGTTGAAAAATTTCTTGTTTAGCTTCTACGCGGTGATTCTGGCCTTTGCTTTACCAATTTGTCAAAAGAAGATGTTCAAAGGTAACTCCTTGAAATCTTATATGTAGTGCAGTTGTACTCTGCTNTGCTTTACCAATTTGTCAAAAGAAGATGTTCAAAGGTAACTCCTTGAAATCTTATATGTAGTGCAGTTGTACTCTGCTGCTCTTTCTTGGTTATCCAGTTGACAAAAGGTGAGCAGATTTGATGCTCAAACTCAGGAACTCTGTGATATGGATTTTGGTAATAAATAACAGATGTTATCTGAATCCAAAACAAGCTTTAAATAGGTTGTTCAATTATTGGAATGGTATATTAGAGAAGCATACAAATTTTGGGGGCATATACCTTCTTTCAACAAGTTGTTGCATGATCCCTAATTTTGGCATTCTCCCCTTTCGTGTTGTTGGAAACCAAGTTGGAGTATTAGTTTGATACAGACTATCTTTTGCTTGAAGTTCTGAAAACTGGCTTTGGAAATTACCCTTTCTTCACTCTGAATTGCCTTCTAAAATAGTTCTCTTGCCTTAGATTATGCCCCTTAGATTGTCATGTTTCATATTATAGAGTCTCAGGATACCCAAGCTGTTTTCTTTCAACCAGCCGGTGAATTCCTTCCCATGATCGATCAGGTTATTCTTCTCTCTTCATCTTATTGAGTCAATTAAATTAAATACATTTTACATTTGCAAATCTAAAATAGTATTCTCCAAAATATCAGCTTTTAGGTGTACAGTGTTATGAAAAGCGCGCCTAGGCGCTCGCCTAAGCGAGAAGCGAGGCGAGGCGAGACTAGCTCGCCTGGAGGGACCCAGGCGAAGCGAACGTGAGCGAGGCGAGAAAAAGTGAAAGAGTATTTTTTTATATTTCAATAAGTTTGTTTATTGTATTTTGTCCTTAACAAAAAACGTTTATC